TTGCTTTCGGTGAGTCAGCTTTGTCTCTCACGTGTTACTGAGGAAACTAGTGAATTTGGCGAAAGAGAAAAATATCATTAGATCGGTTAATACGTGTCGAGGAGATTTCGATGATTCATACTTCGGAGACCTTGAAGTTTACACCGTCTTCGCGGAATGAGTCAAATACATAATTATTTTCATACTACGCCATTGGATTGATCCGATAGTGGCGGCGTCACTTTGAATTCGAGTTACGCCTTGGAAAATTCCATTCTTATGCATATATGTGCATATATGGGTGTGGGTATATATATATATATATATATATATATAGATATTTTATGCGTTTAAATTCTACTTTCATTCTTTCGTGGCGACCGAGAAGGTTACTCGAGGATCGATCGACCTTCGGCACGAGTGTGGAAAATGAGAAAAATTCTTTCCCATGACATATTTCCCTGTCGCCATTTTGACCCACGCTCGTTTTACATACTTTTTATAGCATAATAAGAGCGTCCTCCGACGATAGCCGAAAAATCTGCACGATTTGCATGGCCGTCAGTGATTTTCGCTACGCGGTGCATTTATACCTATAAAGAATATCGTACTCTAATTAGGAAAACGTCATATAAACGAGCAAGAGAATTAATTGGATATTTTTTTGGTTTGTGAATTATTTTTTTTCGATTATTCTGATGAATTTTTTTAATGTCAGTAATGAATATGCAAATCATACTGATTCGTTCAGAGCGAGTTGAAAAAGAAATTTGTTTTCACTCACTCTTCGTACCGACGACTGTCTTCGACGAATTCGAAGCTTCTAAGCCCGAAAGATAAAACACTTTTTCCGAGTCTCCAAATTAAAGTGATAGCTACGGGAACAATGGGGTTGCCAATAAGTGGTCGAGATGTGGGAAAATAACGGTCGACGTATCGCATTACCTTTCAATTTGCCAGGATGAGGTCGTTCGATCGTTCGATCGTTCGATAGGGATTCAGGAAAAGGTCGCAAAACATTGCGACGCCAGGGACAAGAGTGACGATGCATCAAGCCGGGATCTCCTAACGGATAGCAGTCGTTTCCGCAAATAAGAATTATTTGATGAGCTGTGTGCAACTGGAGCGCGTTTAAATAGCGCGTACGAATCGGCCTGAAGCCTCCTGTAGGCGTCCTCCATTAGCTTGAAACATTTGACAAACAATAATAATTTATTCAGATGTTTTTCATACGGCGATGCACGCGCGCACTAATTCATCATACTTGCCCGCAATTCCAATCGACTCTTTTCCTTCCCACCATTATTCGGTGCATCGCCGTTGCATCATTGCACTTGGAATTCCATAGGCGATAAGAGAAGCTACGCGAAACGGCCATTCCAAGTATGTATTATAAATTGCAATTGTACTTTGAAGTTGCAAATATTCGACAAAATTAAATTGTTCAATTAAATTACTTGTAATTTCTCACCTTTTTGTTTATCCTTTTTTTGTCCTCCCTCGGCAATCATTTACACGCTCCGCGTACACAACGCTGATAGGAAGTAATGATCCATCTTAATAAAAGGCTAGACTGTCACTTCCTTCGCGTCTTCATTTTTATTGGTTCGCTTCGGGACGCGGGTGCGCGCGCTTCTTATCAAATGCACCGATCAATTTGTTCTGTGCATTAATACGCTCGCAACATGCGTCACGTGAACTGTGCTATCCGATCTGCAATATGTATAATTAAATGCTTTGGAGAATAAGGATTTTTTTTTAATTCTACAATTTTTTACTACTGCAGATACTACACATATTGGGTTGGTGCTATCGATTGCTATTGGCTAAAAATTATTTTTCGTAATTTTCATTTGCCAGTAACAGAGCAGCTTGTGTTCCTTTGGCTTACGGCGGCGGTCGGTACAGCAGGAATCTACGTTCAATCGTACGACCATACCTACTGGCCCTTTCTGCTGTCGTAAGAAATTGGAACACGAGCAGCGTTCGGGCAGTTCCTGTTTCTGGTGAATGACGATTCTGGACATTGGAATTTCTGACGAATGCCATTTCAGGACTGTGGCAATTCTGGACACTGACTTTTGTGCCAAGTGACAGGAACCCAGCATTCTGCCCTCTGGTTTTGTAAAAGTGTGACGCGTCGAGTGATCCTCGCGACGTGCGAAAAATTTCACATGTGTATCGTGCCGCACGTGGGATACGTATATACAGGGTATCTCGACGAAAGTGCACACCTCGATTATTTCCGTTACTATCGAAGATACGAGAAAAAGTTTCAAACAAAAGTTTTAGGATTTCAAGGGTGTCGATTTTACGTCCAAATGATTTTTTTTTATATTCATTTCATTTCGAGATACCACACGTTATATTTTTTTTCAATGGAAAATTTTCTGTTGGTATAAGAAAATGTAGCGTGTTTTTTTTTTAACGTTTTATGCGCTTTCAGACTAAAATCCATCCAGCCATTTCCAAGTTATTGAGAAGTGAATTTATTGAACAATCTTCGGTTGGCAGCACCGCTAGAGAATTTAGGATTCGCACGCTTAATTTGGCAATCGAAGATTGTTCAATAAATTCGCTTCTCAATAACTTGGAAATGGCTGGATTGATTTTAGTCTGCAAGGTATTAAAACGTTAAAACGTAACGTAAAAATACGAGCTACATTTTCTTATCGCAACAGAAAATAATGTTCCATTAAAAAAAAAAAAAAAACATGAAACCTGCTGCATCGCAAAATCAAATAAATATTTTAAAAATCGGATGCAAAATCGATCCCCTTAAAACCATACAACTTGTGTCTGAAACTTTTTCCCGTATCTTCATTAGTAACGGAGATAATCGAAGTGTGCACTTTCGGCGAGACACCCTGTAGACCTAGGTATACCAATTTCGTGAGAACTCGTGACATATTTCAAGGACGTTAGGCGCAGCTAGCAAATGGCGCAACGAGCGCACTAAATAGGTTAGCTGTATTGCGAGACGACGGTTTTGTCGAATTGAAAAAATTAACGGGTTGCATTTAAAAAAATATATTATATCTTTGCTATAATTAATGCGTTTAAGAATGAATCTAAAGGCTAAATGAATACGTCGATTAATTATTAGTACCAACGTGACTAGTTTTTTCAAAATTTATTTTTACGAATTGCATACACTGCGAAATCGATTAAATGGATTAGTTTTCTAGAAACGCTTCGATATCAATAATGACTGGACTGTCCGTTGTTGTTTGAACAACAAAATCAATTCAGGATGAAATGAAGCATGGTCGTACTATGAAAAATTACTCGGGTGCGTACAGTGGCGTGACTAGTGGGCGCGTGCCTTCGTACCGGGTGTTCGCAGAGTGACTGATTGCCTTATTCACGCGGTAATTGAAAATATTGAATCGTCCGGTAAAATCGCCGATGGAATCCACTGTACGTGATACGCACTGGTCGAACCTCGTGGACGGATGACAGATGTGAATGAGGATGGTACTGAAAACGGACGATCATTCTTTTCGTGAGTTTGACAATTTTTCAATAAATTTTACGACAAGTGAAATTTGATCATTCGTATTATAAACTTAATTAATTAAAGTCTCCGAAAAGTAATGGTACTCCAAAGAAGCTCTATCTTCGTGATTTTCAGTGAATTTGCCTGGAGTACTAGATTTAATATAGGGATTCGATTAATTACAGATCCAATTTATATCTGTCTAAGTGTGAAGGATTTAAAGAGAGAATAAAAAGCAATAGACTGGGAGCAAATTGAGATAAATTTTTTCAAATTGTTCAATTAGGATTTTTTGTTATTATTGTCAAGAAATTTTAAAAATTCTGCGTCGACAGGATTTGCACGGTGAAATGATTTTTTTCTTTTCCAAGAATTTTTTTACTAAGAATATTTGAAATAAATAGAGAAAACGTCAGGCTCGATTTTAGAATGGGAACTCGTGGCAACGCGCCATGCTGCTTCGATAAGAGTCAACTGTTCGGTCTTTAGATAAGGATGAGAAAAAGTTGCATTATCGCCGACTACACCCAGAACACTCGAAAATGAAACGTAACGAATTATGATGCACTTGGCGAATAGGTGCGGCACTCTGAAAATATTGAGCGTTATACAGTTACATGCATTTCGTTAGGACTGTAAATTTTTCTAGCGATTCGAAAGATCCAGTTAATACACTCACCTGAAACATGTGCACTTTATCAGCAAAATTGTGTTTGCGTGGAAATTTGTAATTCGTCGTAATTTATTATCTTGTATAAAAAGAAATATTTCGATCTTACAGATATCATACATTTTGTTGTTCAAATCCTTCGTGTACCGAGTGGCTTCCATTTGGTCATTTACAAATGTGTACAACCGAGACACGCGGTATATCGTGAAAACCGCATTTCCGTTAGAGTCTCTTGCCTGTAACTGGCAACTATTTCGTAGTAACGTTTCGTAGTCCAAGGCCTTACTGATAAGAGAAATTTCCTGTCGAAATGAATAAAAACAAAAGTGGTCTAACTATCCTTTGACTCACATACATTAAACTTATCATGGATCACGCTCTTGGGAGTGTACATATAACACCTATCAGAAGGTCTAATCGAAAGACAAAATTACGATAACGAAAACTTCACTACCTTAACTGTGATATGCTTTATCAATAGACTTTGGAGCTCCGCGAAATGGTTTCCAACGTATACTGCATTGTGCGCGTGCACCTTATGAATCTGAAGGTAGAAGATAGTCGTACCCTCTGACCTCTAATAATATCTGAGATCCATCATTTCTGACTGAGTGCTGTTTGAGTCAATTGAGTCTCTATGAATGCTCAGCCTTATTCCCTATTTCTGGCATCTAATCGAAATCAGCCGTATCATATAGAAAGAGTTTCATTCGATGGACCCTTTATTGCACGGGAGTAATATAGAATATACAGTGTCGAGTATAATGATAAGTAGTAGGAGCAGGGCAGGAGGGGGCAATAAGAGTCGGAGAGCGCTCATCATTGTTTGATGTAGTTGCGGTGGTGTCGCAGGTTTGGAACGGGTAGCGGAAGAGTTGATGGGCCGTAGGAGATGGAAGCAATACCAGGACACCCTGTACAGCAGCACTCGGAGCGAATCAGCAACGCAACCTCACCGGCTCTACCCGGCGTCCTCGTGCAACCCCCCCGGCTCGAACCAAGGTCACCGTCAGATATCGGGGCCGCTGACGGTGAAGCAAGAGCCGCGGCTTCCGAATCACGTCGACGAGGAGCCACGGCGTCTCAGGTCGGAGGAGATCAAGGTCGAGGTCGAGCTCGAGGCTGCGGAGGTGACACGGGACCAGGTCCTGGAGGAGGACGACGACGAGGAGGAGGAGAAGAAGCTCAAGCTCGCCGAGGACGCGGACCGATCGGTCAGCCCTCTGAGGGAGGTGGACCGTCATCCATCCCAAGAGAGGGATCCGGTCAACGTCGCGGACACGGAAGGGACCAAGGTCGTTATAATTGACTAGCAAGGACTGATTTAATTAATTATCTTTTTCTTAATACTAATTTTATTCTTCTTCCGGTCATCAGGAACGGATAGAGAAGCTCGCGTTGGAGCGGACACCCGCGACGCAGGGCTTACTGAGGGTGAAGAAGGAGGAGGAGCTCCAGGAGGCACCGAGCTCTGCAGTCTGTTTAGTGACAGGAGAGACGGAAGTGAGCGGGTCAGGGCCCAAGGAGGTGGTCAACACGCCGGAGAGCATCGTCGGCGCGGTACCATTCCTCGGAAGCAGACGAGCGAGTCCGCCACCCGAGGATTGGAAACCCCTGGACAAATGTTACTTCTGTCTCGATGGCAAGCTGCCACACGACGACCAGCCGCCCCTTGTGAGTTCATCGTAGAAAATGCCGCATCTATCCCCTTGACTTTGATCTCCTCTGTGAATCATTCATAGATCGTCATGCTTTAATTCTTATTGATGATACAATCTCTTACTTGGATCGTCATTGGTTACCAATGCTTGCTCAACTATCTTCAGAGACATTCGTCAATTGGATTTTTATATACTTCTCAATCCGGGAATCTTATTTCTATTCATTCACAATTTTCTCTAGAGTTGGTTGATCGTGGCTTCTTTCTGGAATCTGGATGAATTAACGAGCAGGAAGATTTTTTTTTTTTCTTTTTTTTTTAATCTTTCGCTTGCACTTTCTCATACTTCAGAGCCCTCAGAGTGACAGTAGCAGCAGTTCACGATCGGCCGAGTCCCCGATGTCGGTCCAAGTCGACCCCATGGCAGCATCCGTGGTGGCAGCAGCCCTTAGCGGCACCTACCCCACCTTACTGCCTCAATGGTGTCTACCCCCGAGGGAAGCACCCCTCGTGGGTATCCCGACACATCAAGAAAGTGCCCCGGCAGTTGATCAGCCTCTCGACCTCTCGGCTAAACCTAAAAACTCTCAGGTAATTTTAGAAAAAAATGTTAATATTCCTCGGCATCGTTCTGATCCAATTTACTGTTTCATGTCTTAGGATTAATTTCTATTAATTATTTATCTTTGCAGGACAACAACATATCCCTATTGGAACAACAAAAAATACCTCTCAGGATGCCGGCAGGCATCGATCCCAAGAGCATCTTCAAGTGAGTAAAAGTTCCTGGTGGTGGCGGGAAGAATTTCTCTTTAGGAAAATAAGTTGCGTCAACAGTAGGTTTCAATCGAAATAACGGACGGAAAGAGAGTACAAATATCATAGTCAGTCATAGTAATTTTCACTTGGGTATGCAAGTGCAATAGTTAATTTCCAATCGATAGAAATGATTGAGAGGAGGTGAAAGCGTAAAAGAAAAATGCGTGACTATCGGAAGACATTATTAACGGAATTGAAATGCTTCGATAACGATATCGTTAATCAACCTCTCTATGAGTCAAAACTGTCGTATGATTATTAATACTTAATATTGGTTTTCCAAGCAATCCCTAATTGTCCGCATTACTCAGCCAATGCGTGATAGAAAATTCTCGCATCGTAGCAATGGATGCTCCCGATCAATAAGTGCAGAATGCATTTCGGTGCACTTGAACTATCAAGAAGGAGTTATCGCAACGCTAGACTAGAGCGCCATGTATTTTCCAAAAGATAACGTTCACCTCGCAACGGGCGAATTATCGAGAGGAATTTTTCTGCCGATTCACATTTTCCATCGCTGATTGGTCACCGTATCTCGTAAAACGTTTTTAAATCTTAAGGAAAACAACAAAATCAGCTTTACGCCCTTATCAGAATTTTACCGCTCCCAAGGACCGTCAACCGCGACGCAATTAAATATAAAATTTCAACGTACAAAGGTATTTCGTAGAATCAAAGAAAAACCGCGTCCGCAAAATACCCGTCTTGTTTTCCTCGATTTCAAAATTACTGCTGACGATATCAGCGCATTTCGTCACCGAGTGTCGTTCTCCTCTAATCCGCGGGTTCTTATCGTAACGGTGTGTCCACACTTGCGTCTACATACGTATTATATTATTGTACACCGTATGCATTTAAGACACGATCGAGAGTAACGTGAATGTCTCCTTCGCATTAAACAAGTAATGTCGAACGTTGCCCTCGTGTTTTCGCTGTTTCCCTCCGCAGAACATTTTGCGCGTCAAATTTTTATCGTGGTCTATTATTAGTTCGGCGTAATCTGCACCTCCGACACATCGAAGCCTCGAAGTGCCCTGGTCCCCGGTCCCCGGTCCCCGGTCCCCGTGTGCCGCGAGCGATGTGTGCATCGCGACGCATGCGCCTCTCACAATTAAATACGATAAGATAACGAGCGACGAAACGGAGTCGCGGGTCGAAATTCACGGTGCATATAGGAATCCGATGCATTTTCCGGAGTCCAAACAACGCGGCCGTAGTATCTGTACGCGTAGAATAAGAAAATCATTATAGAACTCTTAGAACTGCATACAAGTATTTACAGATATGATCTTTTTTTTTTTGTTAAAGGGTTTCTAGATTTATAAATTCTTTTTTTTTTTTTTTTTAACAATTATATGTTTCTCCCTTGACTCTTCTCTCTTGGGTAATCAGTTGAACCAGCGGATGTCTGAGCACGATTCGTAAGACATATTTGTAAATAACGTAGGTGACTCCTTGGGACAAACGTGATTTCTTAAGTATTTGGTAATCATTTTAGATTACGCAGAGACAGATTATGGGTATATCGTTTTACTTGAAGAAAAAGTATTGTTAAGGAATGCACTGAGAGTATCACTTTCCACTGTAGTACAGATATGCGCATGAGTTAGACAATCATAGTCGATATTAAAGAGTAGTAAAAGTTATCGACTCGGTTCAATTAATTTACTATCAGCATGTAAGACGTGATTAGGTAGGTAGGTGTTGGTAGGTACGAATTCACTGAACAAAAGACTCTGCAGATAACTTTGTGAACTCGCGATTACACACGGCACAACGGCATGCCTAATCTGCGCCACGTACGAGGTACTTTTTTATCTGTATATTCTGGCTGGACAAGTTCATTGACCTCAGCTTGAATGCGTGGCCTTATAAAGATGATTCTTTAGAGTCGAGAGAACGACGGTAAATTTTGGCAGTAAAATACCGCATTCTGTGCTGCATGCATATCAAATATAAAAAGACAGAAATGGGGTATAATTACGATTGACGAAAAAAAGTGAGGATACCATGAGTTATGATTTTAAAAAATTTTAGAATTGAGGTTAGCTTTCATACTTTTAACAAGAGTGAGGCCATTGTAGGATTTAAAGGATCAAGGGTCAATGATCAATGTGGGTTCTCTTAATAAAGTAATGTTCCTTTTAGCTCGTGCTACCGTGCGAAACCACGGCTGACCGGTCCGGCCGGAGTTGGCGGGGTCCCCGTGGTGGGTGCTGCTGGTGGCCGTAGGACCTACACCGAGGAGGAACTGCAAGCCGCCCTCAGGGACATTCAAAGCGGCAAGCTGGGCACTCGCAGGGCTGCAGTTATTTACGGGATACCTAGGAGCACTCTGAGGAACAAGGTCTACAAGCTCGCGATGGAACGCGAAAGGGACGCCTCCCTGACTAGCACCCATTCACACCCTCACGAGCCTGGCGTCCCAGCCACACCAAATACAACCCAAAACGCCTCCGCAACCAGTCCGCCCCCGCAAGTGGATGAGGTAGGTTTTGGGGACGAACGAGTGAACATACGAGCAAACGTGACTCAGGAGCACTAGGTCAGAATAAGTGTTTAGAAGGGAACAAAAAAGGTGTAGGATCAAGATGATTGAGCAATGGAGGAGGGTTGAAAAGAAAATAAGAAAAGAGAAGACAATGCGAGAAAAAAAGAAAATTCTCGTGCGCGTTCAAGTGTTTTGTTTTTTTACCTTTTTTTCTTCGTATTCTTTCTTTTTACATACATCGTTTTTTTTTTCGTTGTCACTTTTAAAAATTTTCTATCCGACTCTCTTCTTAGCCTTTATCGTTATACGTATTCCTCTTCTTCGTTGTCTACTTACTTTCTTAGGTCTTGCCGTTTTCTCATTATGCGTAAACTTTTTATTTTGTGCTCGCTCGCGTTCACTCGATTCTTATCGAGTGTTAAATATTCGGAAACCGCGAAGAGAGAAGCGTCCATTCGGTTTTCTTATCTGCCGTGATTAATCCGTCATCCTTTCATATCTAAGTGTGGTTTTGGTTAGGAAGAACGAATGAAGCTTCCCCAAAACATACCTCTGGCATGGCGAACAAAGAACTCATGTAGACTCGTATTAATTTCGTGTATTGTAAAACGTCCTTAGGCTATAAAATGTATTTGCTTTTTCCTCGTATTCCACAATCTTTAAAGTACAAGCATATCGTACCGCGTCCAATCTATAATGGATTTTCTTTGCTTTAGCTTCGACTACAGAGTCTAATTTTATTACTGAGTCAGGGTAAAACATTTCTTTTATTATCATTATCTGTCAATGTGGATCAGTTGTTTAATAAATATCTTTCATCGGAATTATTCATAAAGATGCGCGCAATTATCCCGTGTTATGTAAACAATGGTCTACACGATTCTTGTATTGCCGTGACGCTCAGTAGTGTCCTGTGTCTTTTGCATGGGCTGTTTAACTTTTGTATTATCACTATTTGTAGTTTAACAATCGGCCACTTGACGCCCGTGACGTTGCAAGACTCGAGGTAAGTTTTGGGAAGAGTGAACAAATGAAAAAGCTTTATTCTTGGATTTCGTACTCTTACGCAAACCTTTCGTTCCGGACAGCCTGTGCCTTCGTTCTTCATTGGAATTTCGAAACATCCTCAAAACGTGCCTCTGTGTGAAATGCGCGTTTGTTGATTTTATCTTTTTATTTCTTATCTTCTAATTGGCTTGACCCATAACTATTTATGTGTAGTTCGATACTAGCTGCTGCAAGTTAGAAATTAATATCGTTAGCAGGTTGGAATATTTCTTCTCGTACTTCAAAAAAATCTTTTGGTTTCACGTCTCCTTAATATATTATCCATTTACTTTATTGTCTCCTGTGAAATATCCAAGCCCTTTTAGGAACTGCACGTACAGTTGACTCGGTCCTGTACTTTTATATTATTTGCGGCGTGTAATTGGTTGTATAGCGATTTTGATTTCTTTTGAATGAATTTGAAATTATTGTAGAAAAAAAAAATGTGACTAAGGAATATCCGCAATTTGGCAAAAATCTTGCTTCGCGCTTGATCGATGCATGCGGCTTAAACTTCGTAGAAAAATATCTAAATCCTTGTCCAACAGTAGGTCACTACACGCTGTTAACATTTTGTTTGCCATACTGAAAAATGTCTAATTCATTAAATACCAGAATATTTTATACACGCCTGATCGCTTGTTCTCTCCATTTTTCGTAATTCTTTGGAGCTTATAAATGTTTTCAGAACCTTGATTTTATGCAAATAAATTTCATTGTTCTTAGCATTTTCCCGGCATGTTGCTTAATTCGCACTGCATTCAATAGAAACACTTAAATACATACACGATTATCATTCCATCAATTATTGCCAGCAACTGTTCATACCTTGTCCTCTCCCCCATCCTTCATCCTAAGTCCATACCGACCCAATAAAACTACACTTGAAATTACTCCAACATTCCTCCAGAATAACATGCTCTGTGTTAATGTAGTCCCAGCACAGAAGGAAAATCCTTGAATCGATAAAAATATTGTTAATGAATTATCATAAACCGAGATATTAATTAGCATATCAGTCTCTCAAGTATTTGTGATATTTGATTTTTGTTGTAAAAAAGTCTTTGATAAAGAAGAGGTAGAGTCAGTCGAAATCGTCCGCAGGACAGGCAATTCATTCGATACCCCTGGATGGGATAGGATGTGCAGAAAACGCTAGAAACACAATTTTTAACAGGTGGACGATAAGGAGCTCTCTGGGGCGGAAGAGGAGAAGGAAGTTGAGAAGGCGTTACTGAAGCCCCTACTGTCGTTAGAGGACCTTGTGAGGTTCTCAGCCCTGGAGGGTAGCGGTGGCGATTCCCTGAGGACGTTGCTGCAGCGTGGCCAGGAAACGGGTACCGAGTGGCCGGGATTCGAACACGCAAATATCGGTCCATACATTCAGAAGATGCTGGCAGTTGCAGGACCTTTCAAAGGTGAGAGAACCAGCATGTATTTAATACTAGAGAATTGTTTTAAGGTCTGCACGTTAGATAATGCACAATGGAAGGGTAAGGAAGGAGACGAAGAGTCTTCTAGGTATTCTCGAATCGATAAAAGCCTAAATAGCCATACGACCCAACGATTTCTTATTTTCGATACAATTTTTCTTCGTGCTTAAGACGACCTTAGAATAATTACAATTTTATGCGTTTCTAGTGTATTTCCTGTGAATAATATAGAATGGAATTTTCTTGCAGGAGGTATGGAAACGCAGGACTATAGGATCCCCGAAGTGATGCGAAGGCTCATGAGCGAGGATAAGAAATTGAATAAGGATGTGAATGGCGATCAGCATCATCCACAGAGCCAGGTCCATTCGCAGCAACAGTCCCAGCAGCAAACGCAATCACAAGTGACGCACCAACAGGCACAGCAAGTGCGCAGACCCATCACGAACGATGATTTTAATCCCAGTATAGAAGAAGAGGCGAGCGACAGTGCTCAAAGTAGAGCGATACTGAAAATTCCGTCCTACAAACCGGCAAGTACGCCGGGATCGAGCAAAAACGGGGAGCCAACCTCAGCGGCGTTCGCGCAGAGCTTCGCCGCGACCGCTAGCAGCGCCGCCGGAAGTCCAGGTCTCCTGGAGCGCGTCAGTCCCGCCTATTCCGGCACTAGCAGTCCCACGAATTCCCTGGTGGGCAAGGGTGTCGGGGTGAACTTCCGGGACGTCATTGCTAAAAGTATTAGCGTTAAATTCCAGGAAGGTCAGGGAGGCCTGTCGCAGGGTGTCGTGCAGACGCCTATGATGGTCGACCCGAATCCCTTCAAAAGAGGAAGGTACACGCCTCCTCAACCACCTCAGTCACAACCACCGAAACCAACTCAGGATAACAAACCGAAACCCGGGACTGGTGGCAAAGGCACAAGGCCGAAACGTGGCAAGTATCGGAATTACGATCGCGACAGTCTCGTTGAGGCTGTGCGAGCTGTTCAGCGCGGTGAAATGAGTGTTCATCGTGCGGGAAGTTATTATGGAGTACCACATTCCACTTTGGAGTACAAAGTCAAGGAAAGACATTTAATGAGACCGCGAAAGAGGTGAGTTGTCACGATTGGGTTTAATGAAAGATTGTTTTTCATATTGAAAATATTTTTATATCTGAAGCAAATTGAACTTCTATTTGTGTTCCCTTCAGGGACCAGAAACAACCGGACGATAAAGCCAAGGAGGCAGCAACCGCAGCGGCTATGAGGCAAGCCGGACCCGATAAGAAGCCTCAGCTCAAGCCTCAGAAGCCATTCACACCTCCAGGACCTATACCAGGGCCAAACGGCCTTAAAATGCCACCCTTCATGGATGGTATGCCTCACCTACCGTTCGCTCATCCCTTCAACTTCTGGGGCCCAACGCCTTTCATAGGCTCGCCATTTATGACCGGTGCACCGAATGTCCCGACTATGCTACCGGAACAGTACTTCGCGACGCAGAGGATGCGCGGTCTGCAGGAGCAGCAGAGGAACGCGATAGTACAGCAACAGAGGGATAGGGAAGGGATGAACGTGGCTGCGGAACCGGGAACGTCGAACCAACGAGGTTCTGGTATGGGGAAATCAACACGCGAGATAGCAGAGAGCCTGTATGACGGAACGGGAGCTAATGGTAGTTTCCTGGACAACCTGATCAGGTCCAGTCTCGAGACGGGAATACCCCGGGACCAGCGAGCTATCACCGAAGCCAGAAATCAACAGCAGCAACAACAGCAGCAGCAGCAGCAGCAGCAACAGCAACCTCAGCAACCACACCACCCCGAGGCCATGAGCAGCAAGGCCTTGATAGATCAGCTCTGCCGTAACTCCAGGAGGACACCGCTACCCAGGATGCCTCAGGATAGCAGCGAGGACGAGAGCTATCGGACACCCGGTCGAGTTCTCCCCGAGAGACCCGAGAGGGTACCCACAGTCGATCTCAGCCCGTCACCCTCGGAACGTGGGCGCGCCGACGATGGAAGTGATCGTCTAACCTCACCGCCCACGCCACTCTCGGTCTCCAGAGCAGGAAGCAGGGACGAGGAAACGAGGGATTCCTTGAGGATCGACCGTAGTAGCCGGGAACGTGAGGTCCATAACGGTCAGGAGGACCGGGATCGGGAAAGAAAGACTTTGACCTTGCAGCAACAGCTGAATCACTACCCGGACTTACACAACCTCTATGCCGTATCAACTGACAAAAAAAGTGCCTGTGATAGTAAGCTTATAGTAGATCATTCGAGCCAGAAGACTCAGCAGCCGCAGCAACAGCAACAACGACAACAGCAGCAGCAGCAGCAGCAACAACAGCAAAAGGATTACTCGGCCATGAGTGGCCTGGTGGTGCAATTGCAGAGGGGCTACAACACCGGAACAAGCAGGTCCGGTGAGCAGTCGCAGAACAGCCAGCAGCCACAAGATCGCGGCGCTGTGCTCAGCATGGAAGACTCCGTAGAGCAGTAGACGAAGTCAGTATCTTCTCGTAAAGTATACAGTTACAGTAACGATACAGTAACCATCCCAATATCCATATCCAATCATTCGCATAAACCTACAAAAGTCCGCCTTGTCCGTTCCTTTCGGTTACAAGAATTATGAACAAGGATCCCAATGAGTTTTGCTATGCGCATAAATACATATATCGTTTCAACAAGACTTTCAAATACAGTCACAACAGTATTTACACAATATACAATTTTATTCCGCTTTAACATCACAATGGATCCTTGTTCACGTTGTGGTACCCAATGCCTAGTATAAAGAATCCCTTGTCTTCACCGTCGTGAGGATAAGGGAGATACCAGTCTGCAACAAATTTTGCGAACACTACACCACTGACCGTAAACAATAACAACAAGAAAAATGATATCACTGCGAATCCACCAGTAAATGCAACGTCACCGTGCAACCGTAGGAGACGCGCGCGAGACTAGAGTCTCTGCGCAGTCGCACGTGCGCGGTAACGACTTTTTCGACTATGGCGATTTAAAAAAAAAAATATTAAATATGTGTATTAAAACATATTACGACACGAAAATGAAAAACAACCAGACGCGAAACGCTCGTCACGAGCCACGCATCCATCTGAATACCAATTTTACAGTAAGACATATTCGACGATCCACGTAATTACACTACACGCGCATTTCCACATCGTGACACATCCGCATTTACCTCCTATACCGCAAAAATATATATATATATATATGGAAAAACGATGAAACACTAGAAACACCCTACATAACACTTATCACATCCATCGCAGTCCGGCGTATGTTCGTAGTAGATATCTACCTAACACACGTACTCACACGTGGTACGCGCGTATTAAAAAAAAAAAAAATAAAAATGGAGACGCGCAACGTACTCACCGTACTATGAAAATAATGAAAAAAAAGGGGCAGATATGAAAAAAAATAACACAACGTATTTTTTCTCTATCGATGTAAAACTACCTAATATACTTACTATTAACATTACTTAACTTGTAAGGAGCGACATATTATATAAGAATAATATATATATACATATATTTTTGGTCATTACAAATGTGACGAGAACGAGCCAAGACTTTTGTTTGGCGCGCGAGGCGTTTTCACAAGGCGACAATATTCTCTAACTCAGTTTTCAGGCCGGCGTTGCGATTAACGCGTGTCCCACATTTACGTAGCCAGATTATTGCATGGCGAGTTTTCGTCGCTACGTCGAAGTCTCCTTGTCGCGATATCAATGATTTTGAAGAATGTCCGCTGGTAACACCGCGACTGATTAACAACTGTTTCGAAGTATTTGATAAAGAAAAAAAAAAAAAAAAAAAAAAAAAAAAAAAAAAAAAAAAAAAAAAAAAAAAAAAAAAAAACGAATTCTTAAAAACAAATGCGAATAGTTTGTTTTTCAAAAAGCAATGAAAACATTTTTTTAATTTTTCGAAAACGAGTATGAAAAAAATATTACATTGGTCAAATGCCCGTGTAAACGCACCAAGGTGTCTACGTCGTCGCGACGAACGGTCGTTGGCGCAGATCGCGCGAATCTACGGGACTTCACAGTGTCGCGCTGTGGACAAAAAGCGAAAAAAAAAAAAAAAAAAAAAAAAAAAAAAAAAAAAAAAAAAAAAAAAAAAAAAAAAAGAAAAAAGACGAAGAAGCGAGAATATGACAGGATCCAAGAGAAGCTTAGGAACGGGAGTTAGAAGGAGAAGAAGAAAAAAGTATATAATGAAATTATAACAAAATGCGCGCTCTCGATTCGGGTCTCTTCTGAACAGTTTCTTACGCGTAATAAAAGACGATTTAAATGAAATCTGAAAAAAAAACTCTTTTTGATATGACTGCGAATTTTCTACCAATAGCGAAAATATTAAAAAAAAAAAAAAAAAGGAGCTTAGCGTTCTGGAGGGACTGATAGATATTTTCACATCGGATTGTGGTACCGTATAGACGGTAACGAGAAATTTCGTATGATCGCTGATACGATCGATGGTTGAATTTTGAATATGATTGAAAATTTACATAAATCGTCAATATATCTTTACAGTGAGCGTTACGCGATTTCTCGTAATCGTTGATGAGCCGCAAGACGTTTAACAAGACAGAAGAGAGGCCCGATATCGGGACTTGCTTTTGTCGCGACGTTTGTACGCAGAAGGAACTGAAAGCGAGGAGAGAGACGGAATCGTTTGGAGTTGAACTCTTTTTAGATTTTTAGGAATTGCAAATTCCACGGGGTTGGCCACGTGCGAGGTCGCCCGAGATCAGCCTTTTCGCGTGATGCACGAGCATGACGTCCGCGCGCAATATTTGGGCATATTCGAATACGTACGATTTTTATGGAGTAAAATTTTCTAAAATATCAACCGTAGTCCTTGGGACTTTCGTAAAGTTCTTAAAGACCAAACGCACGGGTTGAATGATTTTTTTTCGAAATGTAAAAAAATCCAGAAAAATCGTGCGACGAGCATGCAATCATATCGCGCGCGGCCATCCGTTGCGCAACGAACGAAAAATGCGTTCGATCGCCCGAATTTCGTTGCATTTCTATTAGGTTTATCCCTGTCCTCCCGATAACCGGAAAATTATTCATATAAGAAATAAGACATAAAATTGAAAAAAAAAACGATTTTTCATCGGTACTTTACTATATACCCACAACACAACCACGCTGCACGTAAAACCGCCCAATTTCCATAAATATGTTCCGAGGACATATTCAGATCAAAAATCCCTATTGTCGACAGACGCGCGTTCGAGTTACGAATTAAAGGCTGAAACGTTGTTACATTTCCGTTGGACCAAAATATGATGTCGATCGACGAACGATCGATGATCGACGATCGATCGATAATGCGGGAAGGGAAAGATAATTAATAGGCAAAAAATATTCGATAAATATTTATGCGTTGGCAATGGAAGTAAGAGTACGAAAAAAGGGGGGGAGAAATGAAAAAAAAATTGGAGGGAAAAAAGACCTGGCTTTTTTTTACACATTCAAAAACCACGCACGCATCATGACTCTTATACGACTGAAACTCTAGGCTGTACATAACGTAAGGCATGTATGTTCGGTGTTAAAAAAAAATTCCTTATAAAAAAATTATAATACGAAAAAACCATATAAGCAAGGCTACTCTCTCGGTGTTTTGGAACTAAAAACTAAATTTACGTATTTAAACCATGAAAAAAAAAAAATGCAAGTTATTGAGTGTAAAACGTTAAGGTCTCTAGGGTTAACTGAAACGCAAAAAAAAAGCACTAATCATGATTGTGTGTAAACGTAATTTAAACGAGTTTAATGAGCAAAACACGTAATTCGGTGTAATCTTAACTTCTTAAAATACCTTGAAAAAACTCTTCATTCTCAATGTTCACCAAACATAACGCAAGGAATAGGAAGTACCTTTACACCTATATGCAGTCTCCGTATCTTGCCCCTTGACGCCATCGTCCCATCCCCAATTAATCACTCACGATACACACAAGAAACACACACACCGACCACTACGAGATTCTAGAATTACCTGGAAGAGAAAAAAACGAAAATTTTTCTCACTCGTATACCCATCCCCTATCGAAAAGAAAAGGATGAAAAAAAACGAGCCCTTTAAAAAAAATGTATCGTTAGATGTGAAACATTATATTATTCTACGGAGGATGTATTAACGCTATGATTATCGTTAACGTTGTCATTATTATTATTACTCATTACGCGATGATCGGTGCAATCTAATGCAATTAAGGTGGGATCCGTGACGCTCGACCTCTGCGACGAGTTTTTATTTTCCGGGGAAAAAAAACGAAAAGTTAAAAAAAATAATGGGGGATACGAGAAAAAAAAACGATTTCTCAATTCTCTTTTTTTTTCGGTTTCCCTTTCACGCGGGACTGCCGTGCGCATGCGCGGTTGCGCTTAAAAGATTCGAATCGTATGAAATGTTATACGGCTCCACGTTATAACACCAGATACGATACCACACTATACGATATGAATAGGTACGATATTGCGATGTCTAACAAATTCAAATTTAGTACGTTTATGGTCGCGGTATCGTCTGTCTACGTGGAAATATGGTGGTTAGCGCGAACGCGAGAGTCCAGGACTCTCACATGCCTACACAACTATACTCGAGTAGGCTCGTAATGCATTTTTGGTATTCAATATTGAACTTGACCTCGTTGCATGCTTTGGGATTTAATAGCATTTTTTAATGAATTTTTCAAAATTGAATTACGCGACAATTTTTTTGTTTATTCAAGTAAACTGTTATCTCTTTTTTACGAAAATTAAATTTTCATTATTAAATTGTAATTATAGATATTGAATATTTTTAATTGCTTAAAAATTGTCTTTTTTAAGTATTTTATTTTTTTTGTAACTTATAGTTTCCAAAAAAAAAGCGTGCGACCGTAGGCAGAGAGTCTTGGCGAGAACTGATAGCTTGCGGATGTGTTCGATAAGGGAAATTGATCTGGCGGAATCAGTGAGATGAAAGAGTGTTCGGACATCGTCCACTTCCGGTACACGGGGGGGGAGGCGGAAGTTAAGAAAAAACGTCCATCTCCTTCTGGAGTGACGTTCAATTTTTATTGATAATTTGATCAGAGAAAGTCATATGGGAGCATGATAGTTCCTGTGTATTTTGTGCTAAGTGCATCTGGTACTTTGTTTATGAGGAACAATGATAACGATTGTACGAAAGGTGCGTGTAAATCATATCCCCAGTACGGGAACAGACTTTTGTGTATTGTAAAAATTTGTAACACAAAACTCTATAGATGATTCGACGTAACTTCGCGTGACTCGTAAATTTTTAAACAAACTACAAGCTTACGGGCTTCCTCGATTATTATCAAAAAGCATGGGTTCCTATTGATTGGAGCGCGAAATTAATCCGGTGTTCACCAATGACAAATTAATGGAATACTTTTATCAAACAATTTTTCTTTTACTGCTTTTGTTCATTTTGGACAAACGATTATTGTTATATAATCTGACATATTCCCAACGGATACGGAAACATTCGTAAGCATGAAAATACGAAAACGGGTTACTGGAAGTGTATGTAGTGGGTGGATAGATTAAATAGAATAAAGAAGGAGAAGAGCATGGCTTTTGAAAGGGAAGTTAGACTAATTTCATCGATTACAATCGACGGGCCGTGAGACACGGGCGAAAATTCTTACGCTTTCGCGTGATATTAAATTATCCTTATTTCCGGAAAAGAAAAAACCGTCTCCCCCTACGTGGCGAGCGATGCGCTAATGATCCGGTAAAATGAATTAGTTGAAAAAAAGGGGAAAAAATTTTTAAGATTAAATGAAGATATATTATATTAAAATATCTGTGATGTAAAAAAGTAACAAAATTTTGATGTATATTTTTCACAAAATATTGTAACCAGCTAGTGTATATGTATAAGATTACGATAATATTGTAATTATGATATATATTAAAAGAAAAAAAAAGAAAAATAATTAAACGATTACGAGACGGGATCCACACAGGTGGTCGGACGGGACCAAGATGGCGGGCATTGCTTGAAAAGTCGGGCCGATAGATTCCTGTTTTCGATGATACCAATAGTGAGTTCCGGTGGGTCATGAACTTTCCTCAAAAAATCACTTTTCGTCGGAATTTATTTTTTTCTTTATCACACTGTCGTTTTTCGATTGAAATTCTTTTTTTTTTTCGTTGAACAATGTCAGACCCACGTTCGTCTAATGATCGAATGAACTAAAAAAAAAAAAATTTACCGCGGGAACGACTGTGCCGTTACGATATATAGTATAATAGAAAATTCAATGCGACGCGGCGGCGCATTCTCAAAAACTGGAAAATTTGGTCCGATTGGCCCTGAAACGGCTCAATGTCAGCTACCTCACAATATCGTC